AATCAGCACTGAAAATAATGAAATAAAAAATAATCTATACACCACACAGGTGTATCTATTAACCTGTCTATTGCCCTCTAAATTTTGCAAATTGGCTGCCAAAAGAAATATTGAAGGCAGGCACATGACATCTGTTATCCAGTGACAAAGTGTCATTCTGGTCCAAGGCAAAACAAAAATTTATCTAACTTACCGGAGAGTCTCGATGTCCTTGTATCCCCCTTTCACATGGTAGTCCCCTATACACCTGGTGCTGTCTGAACTCCCCACCCTTCTGTGTTGTTTGAGCTTCTCCACATCCACTCCTAAATGAGACAGTCTGTTAAGCTCCTCCTCATTGGAGAGAGAATGGTCCACAGAGAGTTGGATTACCTTAAAAACGCCACCCTCATCTGTCTGACAGAATAAGGCTCTTGTGTCCCCTAAAATTTGATAAAAATTTTAATCTAAATAATAGATTTTAACAAATGGTGCTCTTTTTAATTTCTCTACATTTTTTTTCTAAATTAACCTACCAACATTTGCCACATATAATTTGCATTTATACACCAAAGCTACAGTTGCAGTTGTTCCCCCTGTTATTTCCCTCTCCAGATCATCCAGTTTCTTCATAACATCTGGAAACTGATTTAAGGCCTCATAGTGCCCTATACCCTGTGGTAATAACAGTCAAATATTGAGCAAGAATGTCTCACAAAAAACAGAAAAATTTATTTTTCAGATGATATTAGTTATTAAATGTCTTTAAATACCACAGCTGAATTGCCTTTTTATTCAAAAATCTACATTAAACATCAGAATATTAAAACGCTGTTAGAAAGATCGATTTGGAAAAATGCTTCATTGTGTACACAATTCAATACATTAGTTCATATTTCCTTATTTTGTACATGACTGTATTTGTTGATAAAACAAGCATTTAAGCAAAATACATGGCAATGATGGTATATTATTATCCTACAGTCAATCTTATTGGTTAAGAGCATGTCATGTGCAGGGAGATAATTTGTGATGTCTCCCTCACGTGCAGGATGACAACTGTGTTGTCTCCCTTTAGATAAAATAAAATGTCACAAGAGAGATAACTCTGATTTCATTAAAATGTATGTGGGATCCGTAAACAATAAATTTCAATGGTGACGGCAAAGTTGTCTGTTGACGTATTGTGAAAGTACAGAATCAGAGCAGTGGATAAAGAACACAACAGATATTTTATACTCTATTTTGTGAAATTTAGATCCTTCAGGATTCTTCATGATAATAAAACTATGTGGACTTTTTAGTAGGGAGACATCACAAATTATCAGGTCTGAGTGAGGTTGTCACCCTTGGAAACTAGCACCCTTGAGTGACAACTCTACCAATAATTTGTGATGTCTCCTTACTAACAGTCCATAACTGTATATTGTTATCAGCAATTATTCAAAATTTTCCATAAAATGGGACAATGGCAGAGACGTAATGAAATTTCAATAAATGATTTTTGTGCTACTATCAGAATTTGTTTTTACTGGTATTCTTTGAACAACATCCTGATCCAATGACAACAATTTTTCTTGACATATACCTCTGGCAACTGTAGCTGTATTGTTGTTTTCTCTGCAAAAATGTGATCAATAGACTCAAAGAAACTTTTCTCAACAGCTATAAATGCCTGCAAAATAAAAGTGGAAAAGAAATTTCATATTATTTGTATGATATTATCTCTGCACAACACCCACTACACATTTTGAAAAGTGGCAATATTAATTTTCCTTTAAAAAAAAAATCCAGGCGATACAATGCAAGTACCTGGTTCAGAAGATCTTTTATATCCTCATCAGTTGTCTTTCCTGACAGTTGCCCTAGCAACAACTCAGCTGGCATCCTCTGGGCAGCAAAATTAGCAGCTCTGCTGCCGTCATGTCCATCAAACACTCCATAAAGATAGCAGTCCTCATCATGCCTACAACATCAAACTAAGTCAAAAAACTGCATTCTTGTGATAAAACAAGAAATATTAGAAACAGTATGCCACAGAGTTGTGAAATATTTATAATTTAGTGAAGTGAAATCCTGATTGTTGTGATCTGTCTTAAATCACATGGACATTAAATAAAGACACAAGAAAGAAGTATCTTCTAGCAAATCAGATTCAAGTCAGAGTCAACACACAACACAGATGTCTACATAATGCACCCTAATTAACATATACATGCATGGAATCTAAAGATGAGTTACCCACAAAAGGATGATATTGCATCATTTACCAATTTTATGGCCAACTGTCCAGGCCTTGGTAAAACTCCAGTTGAAACATTAAAATATCTCATTCTTCTTTAAATACTTCAGTAAACAAGGAGAAATGAAAGTTTATAATATACCACAATGATAAATGCATTTTAATTAACTAGTAATAAGGAAAAATGTCAAACCCTTGACCAATTTTCAAACATGACATACAAGGGCAGATCCAGGAATTTTTCCCCCGGGTGGGGGGGGGGGGGGTGTTCCATATCCATATACAAGTCAGCAGTAGACTCGAAAAAACCCACTTTGAGGGGGGGGAGGATGGCACACTGAATGGCGAAGTTTAAGGGGACCATGTTTCCTTGGTGAGGGGATTGGGGTTCCAAAGTCATCCCCTGGTTACTTTACTACATGCATATAAATCTAATAACTGAAAATCCTACGGGGATTCAGAACCCCCTGTTCCCTCACTGCTTTCCCTATGTAAATATTGAAGTTAGAGGAGATGACCATAGTTGGTCATCATCAAGAGATATATTTATACATGTATTTCAATACTATTCTCATGGTCAAATATTAAGGTTTATATTGATTTTGGTACTTAAAACATCTCAATTTACCTCTGACTATAAAGATAGAAGATGGTGATCAAAATGGGTCATCCAAAGTAATGATATTTTCAAGTCAACGGTCAAGGCCAAGGTCAAATCTGAGTGACTTTTGAAAAATACCACCCTGATTTACCAAAATGTGATCAGGATTCTCCATGAGCCTCTTTACTATGTACTAGAAAAACAGTAAGTATTTCTTCATGCCACAGTAAATTTTTCTTTGCCACATTCAAATTCACCCTGCCTCATGAAGATATGCCACTTTATAATGTTCTGTTTGAAAGACAGAGGTACATTGTAATATTGATAATTCATGTCCAAAAACAAAATAAATAAAAGGAATACTGTAAATGTATTATATACAGCGGGTACGATATTTGGTGGAAATTGATTTTTGAACAAGTTAGCGTAGATTTGATTTAGCACATTTCTTAGTGTTCCTATTTATGTGTATATGTGCAAGATATTTAGCCATGTACTTAAATTAGCGGAAGTTCCTTTCTGCCAAAGGCGCTAAAAAGAATACACAGCCAAAATATAATACGTACGTTTACAGTATTATATACATCAACTTTTTATGTTTATGTTTACCCCAAAATGTAGTTTTGCCTGTCATTACTACAAAATGTCATTGCATCAGATCTCTAAACATGCTATTCATGTGCTTTGAGCCATGGTAAAATTTGAAGTGATGGAGAACTCTGTATGATGTTGAGTAAGATAGTAATCAGGTCATCCTGCACAGAGATAAATACTTTTTATTTACTGTTAAACATACAGTATACTACTCTTACATTTTGAATTTGAAGTGGAAACTGCAGTCCTCAAATTCATGTTCTTCTCGTCTAATACCATCCTCTCTGTAGATCTGATTGGTGGAGAATCCCACCCCTGATAGTGGACACACAGGCAAGTCATCAGTCCAGCTCAAGGCATGTCCCTAAGTAAATAAAATAAACTGTTTAAAAATTTAACTTTATGATTTATGATCACTTTAATATTAATTACTTGTATATTTGTCTAAATAAGTACATGTATAAATTTATGGAATTAAGGACATTTTTAAATGATTTTTCATACTGTTTCTTGTTTCCAAAGCAAAGCATTCATGCATTCAAATTATTGCCAGCATTTCCTTATCTTTTTCCATGTTCACTTATAGTCACCCAGAGCTTTTAAATGCATATCTCCTTTTGAATACAAGTCACATATATACAATAGAAGCAAAAGCTGTACATTTCTGGTAATTAAGAATTATGTACATATGTGTTAATTGGTATGCCCATATACTAATCTCCAAATAAAAGGTGTATACATTTAATCAAAATGTGAATGACAACTCTGAAAACAGTAATGCAGAAGTAATATCCAAACTGAAGAAATATTACACGTACATGTATAATAGAAATTGTTCACGTCATGCTTTATGAATGCTGTAGTAATATAGATGCGGGACAATCAACATCCATCACAAACAAAAACAAGTTTCTAATCTTATATTCACAATAATCTTACTAGTGGAAACATCTTGAAACTTGGATATTTCAGCATGCTAAAGATAAACAAAGACCAAACTTCAAAATCAAAAATTATACAGACTGATTCGAAGAAAGTTCAAACATTGAATGAAGCTACATCTTCACTTGGTAAAGTGATGAATAATGAGAAAAGAGTTTTAAATAGTAAATGTAAGCTATTGTTAACTTGAGCAGGATAGAAGCAAGTAAACACGCAGAAATCTCTTCATATATTATGACTTTCTCGAACTGTCATATAAAATAAACGACTTCAGACGATTTCCTAACATTCTGAATTTGGTATGGAAACCGGCAATAAGTAAACATTGTTCAGCAAGCTCTCAATACTAGAATTTTTCTTAAATTAGTTTTGAGATAAAACAGATCGGAACACAACCTTCCTTCATTGTGAAAAAAAAATCATTTGTCAGAGTAAAGCAAGGAACTTTTTAAAGTAAAAACGTGCAAAAATATTTTTTTTACACACATGTGAACCAATTCGTGGAGGTGATCCTACTACCACAACACCATTTGACAGCAGCCCACCAGACATAATTTCCCCACATAGGGAAAATCCCGGATGTTTGGCTATTGAAAACGTCACTTCCGCTTTCGTTTTGCAAGGGCAAGCGTGTGTTGGTTTCGTTTTGTTCTTAGTAGCTAGATCTCTCCATTGTGTCTGTGCGGTAGATTTACAGTTTGTTATTATAGTTGGAAGAGTGAACAAAGGTTTGTAATGATTAACAAGAGTATTTGAGTAATGTATATATCATTACAGGTTAAATTAAATTTTGTTGGCAGTTTTGTTAAGAAAAGCAGGGATTAAGGTATATTTACATACAGAAACAGGCTATGAAACCGTGGTCTAAATCAGGGATTGCACTGTTATGGAAGATACAGATGTATTGTGGAATCGTTAAGGTTTATAACAACACCCAGCTGGCTATTATGAACAAAACAATAAGAGATGTTTTGTTAAATGTTTACCAAATATTTAAAATATATCTCAGTGAAAAAAAACTTTAGAAGTATGACTATGAATGAATGTTTCTCAATTTCTATTCAAACCATTCTGTTGTAGAAAATTGCACATCTATGGTCAATAAAATATAATCATCCTGGCTGTTCATCTGTAAAGGAGAAAGGACATGAGTGTCCATAAAGAAGTTCTCAGACTTTATAGGGGGATTTTTCGTTTGTCCAGAACCTGGCAGTCAGCTACAGGAGACATCAAGGAAACAGCTGCAGAAAAACAGTACATAAAAGATGAAGCAAGGGAACTATTTAGGAAAAATCAAAATGTAAGATGTTTGATATAATATCCAAGGAAATACTGAGTGTTATTATTCTTTACAAATAAATTTAAATGTTAAGTTGTATAAGTATCCCATCCCTATTTTTTTTAATTAAGGTGTTGCACATGAAAGTGTGCTTAATTACTTATTAAGTGACAACATGAGTAAATAGGTCCCAATGACATCTGAGCACAATTATTATAAATTGATTCATTTACCTGTAATTTTTAAGAATTGTTTCAGTGACTTTAAGTACATGTACTTGGTATAAATTATAATAAAAATATATTCCAATGGTTTTGAAAAATTACAGATCACAGATGAAAATGAAATACAAGTTCACATAAAGGAAGCAGTTACAAGAATAGAAATGGGTATATAATAATTAGTTTATCTTTATATCCAATAATGAGTGAAATGTTGCAATTGAAGAACATACTTTTTTTGTTTAACCTAATGAATTCTATGAAACTTCAGAAAGTAGCTTGGAAATAATTTAAATTATTTTGATCCATTTCAGCTCTGCATTATAGGACGCCATATCCAAGACATGTAAGTAAAGAACTCTTTTAATAGACCTTGAAGAAGAAGCCAAGTAGAACTATATGAAAAGCACTGATACCCCTGTTTTAAGTTTCTGGATCCACTCCTCATTAAATGCAAACCTTATAATGGAAGGGAGAAAAAAAAATGCATAACATTCTAGGATATTAATCCCGCACTATCTCTTACTCTGTGTTTGTTCTACTAATATTGGGCTATAGGGTCCAGTAGCAACCATTCCAATATTCCTCCTTCCTTTAAGATCAATGAAATACAAACTGTTCTTTACATAGGTTTTAAGACATGGTGGCACCATGACTGGGATGGCTCCATTATATAACAGGAAGGGGGAAAAGGGGGGGGAGAGTAAGAAACAAATCCTAGACCTTCTGTTCACTACACACTTCACCACTGAACTAGACCAATGTGTCTGAACCAAACTTACATAAATGTCTATGAACATGCATGTTACATGTAGGGAATGCATGTGAACTATATGCTATAGGCTGGGTATATTCCCTGATTGCTATCATTAGCCATGAGTAATGTTGATTCATGTGTATACCAGTCTTTCACAAGATGTGGAGATTTAAATTAAGGGTGAAGCAAAGGCACACCCAAAGCACCCCCACCCCTTCTAACTATGTTGAATTGCTGTTGGTTTGTTTATTGAAAAAATTTGCTATGTTCTTGTATTATCCCAATATTGATACATGTACAAATGTAAGAAGGTAATCTCATTTCCAAGTCAACACTTGGTTTTTTTAAACATACCTTGTGCTTTTTTCATTTAAAACTAGAAATATGTCCATAGGACATGAATGCCCCACCGAGGGTATATTAGTAATGCAACATTTTAACACAAATTGAGAAAAGTGAGGTCAAGGTCAAAGGAAAGGTCAAGGTGAAAAAATATTGATGCAGTTGAATAGCTTACATTAGTATGTATCAGCATATGAAGTTTGACACAAATTTAAGAAAAGTGAGGTCAAGGTCAAAAGAAAGGTCAAGGTCAAAAAATGTTGATGCAGTTGAATAATTTACATCAGTATGTATCAACATATGAAGTTTGATTACACTATCTTGAATGGTATCTTTAAAACTGAGCTAAACACTAATTTAAGAAAAGTGAGGTCAAGGTCAAAGGAAAGGTCAAAGTCAAAAAATATTGATGCAGTTGAATAGCTCTCATCAGTATGTATCAGCATACAAAGTTTGACACTAATTTAAGAAAAGTGAGGTCAGGTCAAAGGAAAGGTCAAGGTCAAAAAATGTTGATGCAGTTGAATAACTTTCATCAGTATGTATCAGCATATGAAGTTTGATAACATTATTTTGAATGGTATCTTTAAAACTGAGCTAAAAACTTATTTAAGAACAATGAGGTCAAGGTCAAAAGAAAGGTCAAGGTCAAAAAATGTTGATGCAGTTGAATAATTTACATCAGTATGTATCAGCATATGAAGTTTGTTAAAAATATCTTGAATGGTTTCATTAAAACTGAGCTAAACACTAATTTAAGAAAAGTGAGGTCAAGGTCAAAAGAAAGGTCAAGGTCAAAAAATGTTGATGCAGTTGAATAATTTACATCAGTATGTATCAACATATGAAGTTTGATTACACTATCTTGAATGGTATCTTTAAAACTGAGCTAAACACTAATTTAAGAAAAGTGAGGTCAAGGTCAAAGGAAAGGACAAGGTCAAAAAATGTTGATGCAGTTGCATAGCTCTCATCAATATCTATCAGCACATGAAGTTTGATAAAAATATCTTGGATAGTTTCTTTGAAACTGAGCTTTGAACAGAGCTAAACGCAAAGTGTGACGGAAGGACAGACGGAAGGACAGAAGGACGGAAGACGGACATGACAAACACTATATGCCCCGGCCATATTCATGGCGGGGCATAAAAAAATGAGGAGTAAGAGTTGAAGAAAAACAGATAATTAACTCGCATGATTTAAGAAATGTGCTTCCATACCTTGCAAGCTTTGAGTGCTTTAATAAATATAACCCTGCCAAAACCCTTTTTTTCAAAAGATAAAACAGGGTACTTGGCATAAAGGGTAAATGCACCATATAGAACAGAACAGAACAGAACATTTATTTTCTAATTTAGAGCTCATAACAGACAAGTATGAAATTATTACAATAATAAAGAAAAGATATGCCAATGGATAGTATAACAATTTGTAAATGACATTGCTCATTTCAACAATATCGTATACTATTTCAGCTAAAGGGAGTACTATATATAAAAGTGTATGACTACTACAACATGTTATCATTTATGAATTTGCCCACAGAATTAAGAGTTTCTTTGTCTTCAGTATTGAGTAACCAAAAAAGTTTTTGTTCATCATCTAATGCCAAGAAAGTTGGAAATTTACTTTTAATTGACTGAAAAATTTCTTTTCCTTGATGTTATCAAAAAATGAGTTTCATCATCTACACTGTTAGAATTACATCTATTGCATAATCAATCTTCTCAAGGGATGTTGGTAAATCATCCCACTTCAATTTGCAATCTGTGACAAGAAATTTTTAATTTACATAGAGATTTTCTGTGATGAAAATTTTTAACTACTGATAAATAATTCTCATAACCCCAATTTCGTTTGAGTTTTACATATGTGCTTAATTTACCATCGGTATAACTTTGTTGACTTGTATATACCAATTTTTTATATAATCCCATGGCAAAGTGGAAGGCAGTTATTTAGCAGTTTCTTAGCCTTAACAGTTTGATCTTTTTAGCAGTTCTGGAGCAGTTACTTAGCCTTCCCTAGACTGCTAATGGAGAAACAAATTGCTTTCAAACCTTTTGTAATCTATAAGCAGTTTTCTTAGCCTTACCAGTTCGTAACCAGTTCGCAGGCAGTTCACAGGCAGTTTCTTAGCAGTTCACAGGCAGTTTCTTAGCAGTTCATAGGCAGTTATTTAGGCAGTTTTTTCTAACTGCTAGTGGACTTCCAGTAAACTATTATATACTGCTTATCTATTTCCCTTTTTCAACATAAATATTAATTAGTCAGGAGTGAGGACACTTCCTATTATCCTGCCTGAAATAATATGCAACTATAATAGATCTACCTATATCAGAAATGCTTGTTACATTTTCATTTATTGTATTTTGTACAATAATTGTATAACACAGTCAAACAATTAGAGATTGCTAAGATGAATTAATGTTTCAAAAGTATCAAACACTGTTTTATGCATTCTGTTATTATAATCAGTGTAACTAATAATTAATACATGTACCTTAATTATTTACATACACTGTGATGCACAACCATGCAATTATACTCACTGACTAGTAAGAAATCTTATATATCCCAGGGCATATAAATATAATGTTCAACGAGATTCAACACTGAAGGAAAAAGTCAAAAGTACAGCAATTATTCACTTCATCCAAAAAACCACAAGGCCACAAATTAATAAATATAGTACTTGCCAATTGTTAAAAGTCTACACCATCATTTCAATAAATCTAAAGCTTTGTGGCCAGCAGGCTCCCTCTTCATGATGCTTTATTATTTGCATTGTCCAACAATACAACATGGCAGCCAAAAAATGAATTTTGGCGGTCTGTTGTTGGGTTCCTGTTGTTTATATTTGTTGATCATTGAGCCCAACATTAAAATTTCTCTTGAACCCAATCAAATTGTACAAGGAAACTGCTTACAAACTGCTTACAAAACTGCTTATGAAAACTGTCTTCTCCTCAAGCATAGGCGACCAAGATATAACTGCTAGGGAAACTGAATACTGCTTAAAAACTGCTAAGGAAAACTGTTTTCTCCAAAGGCACTAGCAGTCACAAAAGAACAGAAAGCCAAACTGCCTGAAACTGTTTGAAAACTGCTTAAAATTTGCAAAACTGCTACAGAACTGCCTAATAACTGCCTATATAGGCAGTTCACTTTTCCATGGGATAATCTAATAATTAAGGTTTATATATATATATAGTCAATCACCATGATGGTGATTGGGCATGATTTTATTTAGTGGAATGAGAAAGGTATTCATAAACTTCATAGGCTGTCCACAGAAATTATTATCAAATTCATACTGGGTAAAGTGAGAATTCATCCAACTTTGCCATGGCCTGCTATATTGGACAATACATGTATAACCATGCAGCAGAGTTATCCCTCTTGCACTAAGATATTTAGGTTTATAATTTTTTTGTAAGAGTTATCTTTCTTTTTCTGTGTTCAAGGTCAATTTTCCCCAGCATGTGTTGGCACCATTGAGCTCAAAATTGAAGAAAGCTCAAAAGAGACAGATTAAAGAATCTATACCACTTTACTGGAAATCTTATGAAGATTCAACAAAGTGATAATTTCTGAAGATCTTAATTATGATGTTCCAACAAAGTGATACTAGTAATTTCTAGTGTGATATTTTTGACTTTGGTAAATTCTCTATGTACATATTAGTTTGGTAAGACAGCGCAATATATTTGTGACAAATAATATTATAATTCGTAAATTTATGCTGAAATAAACCAAATACACACACAAAAATACTCCATTTTTTCTATTTTACATTTTTTTTTTATATATTTTAAAAGACATTCTTGCATTTTGGACAAAAATAGTGTTCAATCATTAATTAAACTGTTGCACTACACCCTACAACACCGTTTTAATAAATAATTCATTGAACTGGTGATGGTTTCTCTTTTATCCATAAAAAAAACTGTGTCACTGTCTGGTTAGAATATATGACTTTTTGTTACACCTCCCCTATTCATACACTAGTGTATAAGATCTGATGCTAAAATAAGATACTTAATCGAGTTATAGAGAGGGGAAAGTGATGTCATTCACATTTATTTTGATATCTGGATCATATACCTAGATTTTTCCAGTCTGATCAAAATCAAACCTTCACTAGCTCCTTTTTATTTTGATTGTCTCGCAGCAATCTAGTAAAATAAAAAGGAGCTAGTAAAGGTTTGATTTTAATCAGACCGGTTTTTCCATTGACACTATCTTGTTTTACATTAAAAATATATAGCATTGCTAGGGGCATGCAACCACTTCTATATCTTTGATTTATTATTCTCAGTCTCAATTTTTATGCTCCCATAATTGGAGATTCAGGAGCATATAATTTTTGGTCTGTCTGTCTGTTAATATGTTCATCAGCAAAATCTTTAACCTTGCCCGTATCTTTTGAACAGTGGTGCTAAGGCTTTCATATTTTACACATGTATTCCTTGTGACAAGACCTGGGTTTTTTTTAACTAATGACCCTGACCTTAGCGTTTGACATTCACTTCTTGTTCAATTAAGAAATGCATAAGTAAAAATAAAAAGTCTCAAGTTTTGACCCTCTTTAAGTTTTCAAAATTGAAATGCCTTCTTTATATGTACTTTTAAATGATTTTTTTCATTCCAGTACACAAAACTGAAAAATGCTGAGGTTATCCTCCCACTCCCATCATCTATTATCTTTAAAGGTGAGCACCATATCTACAAAATTGAGTGCTAATCCCTTTGCATCAGTACTGTATACAGATTTGGGGGGAGGAGTTGTGTCTGAGCACAGCCCCTGTTTTAAATTCACATTTTTCTGTCACATTTTTCATTCATCATTTTCTCATATGTTAAATGACATTTCTCCTATGTTAAACATAAAAAATAAAACAACAGCAAAATATGGCCAAGTACAGACTACCATTAAACATGTCTGCCTTTTCTTCAAACTGTTTAGACACCTTAGTGAAGGGAATTAAAGTTAGCTTAATTTTCAACTGGTCTGACCTGGCAGACTATTTCCTTGAACACACATACACCCTAAACAAAATACTGACATTTACGCCAACATTCCTTCAATTACAGCCACAATATAAAATCAGAATAATTTTGTCATGATTTTATTGTGAAGTTCACACTTGATGAGATATGACAATCTATGTACAATAAATTCCAGTGGTCAATTATCCTGGTCCCTGTCCTTCTTACCTGAAAATTAAAACCAAAAATATTAAACTGAAGGCACAGAATGAAATAAAAGAGACTATGATTCAATCTATCAAATGAGTTTTCAAAAATCAGTATATAAGTATGATCTTTTTATGGCATTTAACATTATACGTGTAGTAAAATTTAGTATTGTAAATGACTTTTGATGTAAGATATATTACACATACATTTATGTAAAATATTTCCTGAAACATCAAAACCTTACTTTTTTCTCTCATTTCATCCCTGGCCTTCATCCTGGCAATGAATCCATGGCTCTTGTTCTTTCTGAACTGTTCAAATGGATCTTTGAGATCTGATCCCACTCCTTTGAACATGTCTTGTCTGTCCCTTACATCCCCACCAGAAATAGGGTCCACAATGCCCTGCTCTGTAGCTCCCAACCCCTTACCTCCCCACCCTAAGAAAAAAGTCATCTCTATTGAAGTAAGCATAAATACTCTGTATGGAACTCTGTAAACACTCTAGAAAAAGGGCTATGAAACTACAGCTAGCAAACTGATATAGGAATGAAGATCTCTAAAAATCAGGCATTTCTTACCCATCTTCATCAGCATCTGATGCCCTTTATTGTCCTGTCCTAACTTGGAGTCTCCTAATGTTTGTGATGCTCCCATCCCAACACTACAAAGAAATACGATACATGGTACATAAAATCATGCTTAAGGTATCAACATCAAACTAAATGCTTCTTTCTTTCTTCTACTGTATATTACAAAATTAGCAATCTGGTATTTATAAGCAAGACAAAATTTTCATGAATTCTAGTCCTTATTGTATATAAGCTTGAACAATATCAATATACACAAGAATAAAATTTTAACGAGCAGACACTCTCATGTAATTATGTGAAAATAAAGTTCTCACAAATAAAAATTGATTTACGGTATATCAATAGCATTCTAGTGCAAAAGAATGGTAAACATACAATTCATTTGTTGGTGTTGGACTCCGGGACACCCTACGTTGTCGTGGTGGTGGTGAAGGTGACCTGCTGCTTCTTTGATAGGGTAAAGGTGACTCTGACCTGCAAACACAGTAAGATCATATTTGCATAATGTCAATTTTTTTAGTATGCTGTGACAATAATCTCCTAATTTCGGATGACCCAAAAACTTTTTGTTTGTTACCTTGACCTGCTTCTCCTTCCACTGCGCCTCCTGCGACCCCTGGGTGAAGGTGATGGTGACCTTGATCTTGACCTTGACCTGCTTCTGGATCTTCTCTCCTCTCTGTCTCGAAATTTTTCCCTTTCTCTTGACCGAGAGCGTGATCTCGACCTTGACCTGGAACGAGATCTTGACTGTGACCTTGATCGTCGACCCCTTTGTTGTCTTTCTGCTTCTTTTTCCTCCTCTTTTAATTTTCTTGCTCTCTGCTTTGCTTTGAAGAACTCGTAGAGACCCAATTTTTCCCATCCCTCACTAGGAAAGAATTGATGAAATGATCAAGTTCAAATATAAAATCTACTATACAAATCTTTGCTACCATTTTCATTATTTGGGCATGACTCCGACTCTTTGCCATACCTGTCTCTAGGTCTTTCATGAGTTGGAGCACTGTAGAAGGCTTCCACAGCTAACAGTAATCTTTCACTTGGTGGCATAGGGGGTGGTAAACGAATGTCTTTGGGATCTAAAGGACGATATTCATGGTCTTCAAGCTGCAAAATGTGAATTAATGTTAACATTTTTGCAATATAAAAAGGGACATTATTGTTTAATTGGAGATGAAAAATTTCATCTATGAACAAAGCAATTTATTTGAATTCTAGGTCTTCTTATAATTACCTGATGATTAGGTGAAAATGATAAATCATTACCACTTCAAAATGCTGTTTACCTTGACCAGTGGTGCCATCAGTCCAGCAGGTAGCTCATAGTATGGCACTGAAGGTGTCAGGTCAATGTCTGAGGGGGGTGGTCCTGCAAAGGGGGGTAGTCCTGGAGGGAATCCTGGGGGAGGTTTGCTAAGATCTGGGAGGGCAAACTGATTCTGGTTTGGACCTGGTCCAGGAGGACCTGGGGTAAAACCTGGGGGTAAGCCTCCTGGTGGACCACCGGGACCTGATAAGATACAGTCCCAAGTCAGAGAGAATTTACACATGATGTTATAGTGCTCTAACTCACTATAATTGTACATGTACATGATTTTACCGACATTGTTAAATATCAGTATGTATTGGAACATCATTGATAATTGTCTGTCAATTATCTTCCCAGTAAAGCAGAAAACCACTTATTTCTTAATTAGAAATATTTTTCATGAGTATGACCTCACTTACCAACATTCTGAGGGGGTGGTCCTCTAAATCCTGGTGGGGGTCCACCAAATCCACCAGGTGGTGGACCAAACTGTTGAGGGGCAGATCCTGGAGGCATTCCCTGGAGTGGCTGGTTCCCTGGCATTGGACCTAGTTGTTGCTGAAAAGAAACAAGAAATATCAATCACAAGGTACAATCTTCACACAAATTTTTTTTTTCAGCAGTTTTCAAATTGCTCCTTATTTGGGTGTCTCTAAAGACAATATCATTTTTAAGCTACCCTAATTAATAATTAAAGACATGCAAAAGTTTATTAAACATTAAAAGACACTTTTCAAATGTAGGCAATTTCCTTGGAAATTTGAAATTTGATGCAAAATACTTCTGAAATGCAGTCAGCAGAATGTTTTTCTATACTTCTCTATATACATCACTCTTAGGTCTATTAAATTCCTTTCACAGTTTATGGTCAAAATTGATGATTCTTTCCATAACCAATTACCATTTAATCATCATTAAGTTAATTAATCTGGTGTAAAGTACGAACCTGCATCAGAGGTGGTGGTTCTGACGTCACAGGTGGGGGCTGCTCTCCGACAACAGAAGGTGTTGGCATTATTTGTGTGACCTGTACAACTTGTGGGTCTCCAAGGCCACTGGGAGGAACAGCCATGGGGGCTGAGGATGGGATCTGTTGGGGACCGGGACCCATTGAGGCAGGTAGGGGAGCCGAGTGTGGAATTCCAGGGGGAATGGCACTCCCTGTGTAAGAAAATCAATAAATGTTGGTTGGAATGCAAATTGATGTCAGAATACAATTTCTTTTCAGTCAAAAAAAGAGAAAAAGGTGAAGTGTTTAGTTAAAATCAATATAATAAAAATTTCAGAATTCTTAAGTTTCTGGAATTAATTGCTTGTATTATGCAGCCTTCCCATAGGAAATTTGCACAAACTAAAGTTTGTTACAGTGTCTGATGTAAGTTTACTCCACAACTGATAGCTTTCATTTCCCTTCTTGTCAGATTCTCTATCAAAATAGTTTTTATATTCCAGGTTTGCAGAAATTTGATTTCATTCTTTACCATAAAATAATTACCTGGTAACAATCTTTGGGGAAAATACAGTATATTTTTCATAAATTCTTCACTTACTAATAAGGATATATACTTCTGCACAGCATATGTTTATTAGAGAAAATGAAAATCTGATAGCTTGCACATATTCTGTGCAATCTGTGTATTCTTGTATCATTCTGCATCAATAAAACCCACTGCATATTCCATGAATATAAATTGTGCATTTTTTTTATACTGCACCAAAAAAAAAACCTACTAAATTAAAGGAATTGGAATCCACTGAATTCCACATCACATAAAGCAATGTTATTTGAAGATGTTCCATCCTTTGTTATATTGGGGGGGGGGGGGGGGATTCACTGTATAAGTTAAAAATCATAAATTAATTTTACCTGGTGGCATTCCCTCTACCATGGGATTGATCACCTGGGGTGGGGGTGGGGGTTGTTGTTGCTGTAACATCTGTAGCTGTTGCTGAAGTTGCTGAAGCTGGTTGTTAAGGTGAGCCATGAAGTCCTGGTGCTGTTTCTGCAGATTTGCATACTTCTGCTGTGTTGCTGCACTGATCTGACTAACCACTGCTGCATGTTCATTGAGCAAATTTGTCTGATAAATTAAAAAAAAAAAAAAAAAATCTGTTTTAAATCTCTCTCTCCAAAAAAAAAAAAATCCAGTATACATTGGCAAAAAAAAGTATATGAATATTTTGTAATTTTTTTCTTTTTATGTATATATATATATATAATATATAAAAAAAAAACCTCGTACCTGATAATTTGTTAAAGCTAGAGTTGGATTCTTCAGTTGCTGGAAAAGGAAAAAATGTAATATAAATATATTATCACCAAACTGATTTATTTCTATAAGTGCTATTAAATACATCAAGCAGATATTGCATTTTATATTACTGCAAGATTAACATGTTTGCCAAATGTTAAACTCATCTACCAGTATATATGCATGTAAACATTGCAGTTCAAAATAAAGATTAGTGACAGAATTCTCAATTCAATTTCATTGTAAGCCTATTGTTTTATTTCCATCATACATGTAAATATTAATTTCATGAATAGGAAGTTAGGAAATTTTTTAAAAAGAATACAAGGCAGTTCTGAAGACCTTCCTTCCTTTGTCTATTAATTGGTTTTAACCAATAACCTATTTGATTTATGGTAATTACCGATTACCAGGTATATGTTCTAGTGCAGGTATACCGGTAATCTCTCATGTGACTTATTGGCACATGTATTGGTTTCCAAACACGATTATGGTTATAAATTCTTGAAACTTTATATTTCTTCACGTAAAAGAGATTAATACAACACGATCCAAGTAAATAATCTTTTTTTATTGAATCAACGTTCTCACTTTCATCACATCCAGCACTATAAAGGACAAAATGACCAGTTGTCAGCAATATGACCTCTACCTATATATCAGCACTAGAACCATTTAAAGTTCTTGATCTATATGCTGAACCAAAACATATTTACATGGCCTACTTTTAATTCTCCATTTAAATCCCCTGTTTACAAATTCCGTCTTACAATCTAAGGTCTCTTACGTGCAGAAATATGTATGAGGTATTGTGCATGCATGATTATTTTCATTCAACCAGAAATCCCTGACGTCATGAATTTTCAGAGGAAATCTCCCTCGTAGGATACTGAACTCTGTTTCGAAATTTATCTTTCTAAGACTAAAGTCAAAACACTCACATTGCATCATTCGGCAGGTCATGCCCCTCTTGTGGAGAAAATTTTGTAAACATGCCCGATTAAATTTACTGAAAGAACTCTAGCAGTATAAACAATAACACACATATTCCGTGGAACTTTTACAGGTTTTTGATTATCTCAATATATATAATAGTTATACATGTAATTTAAGTCTCATAAAAATAACTAACAACATTAATCAGATTATTTTAATGTAATTTGATTACCTGACAATTCAATCAACAATTTTGTTTTTGTAACACTTACAATAAAATCAATATATGATCTGTATAAAAATGTTAGACTGTGGAATTTAGATTAACAAAACCTTGTTTGATCATTCTATTAACTGATGAAGTGTACGCTTGAAATAACATGTATTCCATTCAGATAAAAAGGAATTAGTCTACTACGTTGTTAAATGCTGTGTCCTTCAAATACATAAAACGTAGTATTATTGTTGGAAGTTTGTGCTTAAGCCAACGTAACTTGGTTATACTGATCACCAATTTCCTAGATAAGGAACTAACAGAGCACAATGATAGAAGACATTATTCAGCAAGGAAATTCCTATAATCTCATAATGACAATCTCTTTAGGGCTGAGCCCTCTCTCTATATAGTTTCTAATCTTAGTATTGACTTTTATAGCCATGATCAAGTCTGGTGACAAGATACTACATAATTTTATAAAATATTACTTAAACTCATATTTTTTACATTGCATAAATTTTTATCATTATAATCAGGAATGAAAATACATTTTTCCATTGTACTAGTAACTTTTTGTAGTGTATTGGATAGAGAAATCACAGATCAAATAAAATATCAGCAAATTCCTGTTGATACATATGCAATTTATTTGTTTTGGCAGAACAAAGGGAATTCTAACATCATTCTATTTTTAATCCAAGTCAAACCAGACAGATAAAATCTCAGCATCATGAACTATACATACAATCAAACTTTTTTGTGAGGCTGATTCATAAACTGTATGGCAACAAAAAGCATTCCATTACATTGGTGCAATATTCTCTGACTGAAAGAGCCATGTACAAATTATTTCATGGAGATCATAGGACATAATACTAGCTAAGAACAGCAGTCTCAGCTTGAATGTTGCGAGTTTGAATCTTTTATACATGTGATTTTAATATGACATCTAAAACAGAATCACAAAAATCTGCGTTTTCTGTTGAAAATAGAAAAGCTAATTACATAATAATGAAGTACTCTCTTTAATGAATCATTAAATTTTAAGTACACTAGAGGGACTAGTATTATTTATGTCTTTAGATGACTGACACAAACGTAATGCAATGTATCTTGATTAAACGATTATTACTTAAGATGAGTTCAGATCTGTAAAAGTGTAAACAACAACCTAGCTCGTTTATCTAATTCCATAAAATGGGCATAAATTTTAGAAGACTGAACATTAATTCTCATTATATAACCACCTGCTTTAAAAATGAATGTCTACATACAAAACAAGTGTCATCTATGACATCCAAAATGAAGTGAATTATGACATTATGGTTCTAGCAGGCCTTACGGGTTTTATGAAGTAAGATTTAATTAGCATAAAATGCTTATTAGCAATAATATATGGAATACAAAATTCTCAAATCTTTAGATTATCTTTTCAGTCTTTGAATATATATTACAATCATAAACTTTCGAGTCATAATACTTTCTAATGAATAAGGTAAAAATATGCAAATTCCTCCAAAAATTGCAAATGTTTTGTCAGATAGTGGAGATTAAATGATTTAATATGCAGTTTTGGCATTAAATAGCTAATCTTTCAAGTCACTAGTTGTGCACAACCTCCAATTATACTGAATTTCCTCTCATAATTATTTACCTATCACTGGTTTAGGAAATTTTGAGTTTTATTTTTCAATGCTTCCTGTTTTCAAAAACTATTTCACAGAGCACTTATGTTCAATAAACTATCATATTAAATGATAGAATCACATTTTTTCTCCACTTTGAGATCAACTTTTTTATTTTACTAGAACAGTTAAAGAATTTTAATAATAAATATTATATACCATAAATTACCTGTTGAATATTATAGACCACTCAAGTTTTAAAAACCAAACCATTTTTTATTCTATAAATTTCCCTTATTAACACAAGGATAACTAGAGGCCTGTGGGCCTTGACAGTCACCTGAAAATCAGAGCATTTCAATGTAATCTCTTAAACTGAACTATCTATGTGTCATTTATAATTTCCTTTTCTTGCTCTTTTAAATATAACATTCAGATCTTCTTTTTGTCAGCAAAGCAGTTTTTATCATTATCTCAAAACAGCAGCTTGTGGTAAATCAAACATGAAGTATGAGCAACTGAGCAGGAAAATACATTAAATAAACCTATCATTTGAAAGCCAAGTTGTAACTAAAACTACTGGTGGAAAATTGTCAAACCACATACACACCAATAAACAATATATGAAATGATTGAATGTTCCCCATCCTACCTTTTATGACAATTTTGCACCATACAATATTCAAGCTCTTTTTTTGTTTTTTGTTTAATCCAATTTAACATAATTTAAAAAAAAAGATGGAAAACACATGTATGGTTTGCTGTTGAAAAATACCAATACTGCATGACCTTAGCTTTGTACTTGCTACTTTTACACTGCATGGGGAAAATTATTTTGAAGTAATTTTCATAAAATTTCAAACAAAGCTGGTTTGATTAGGTCAACTTGGATATTCTAATATTGCTGAACACCCCCTCCTTCTTTTCTATTCTAAAAATAAACTTTAAAGCAAAGAAGAAAAATAATCAATCCACAAAGAAGAATTTTAATTTATCGGCCGTAATTCTATCAGCACTGCAATGACGTACCAATGGCTGCACCTCTCGGCTAAGCTTATCAGAGCCAAAATAATGTACCTTCACTGAGTTTTCATTCATACCTCATTAGTAGCTAGTACTGAAATAACTTTTGTGTGGGCTCAAACAATGTAAACATCTTCTTTGGTTTGTGAAAAAGTTCCTTGGACTGAAATACACTGAGATGCTGAGGGCTGTTGGAAAGTCAAATCTTTCACATCTAATACCAATATTAAAGGTCTAATTGTAATGAATTTTCCAATAAAACTATCTCATTTTGTTTTATTTTTGCTCTGTTAAAACCAAGCAGTTCTTTTTCATACATTTTTAAATCATAGATTTATTAAGATCTATTGAAAAATTTTAAATAACATTTATAAGATAGGAACAGTTCAAATGCAGTGAAACATTATATTATCTCAAACTAAGGAAGACTAGGGAAAAAAAATCATTGTACACTTTTTTAACATTCCTGATATTTGACAATTAGCAATAAGCATTCAGGAAAGACCCAAGGTCAACTCTACATACAAAGCAGTAAAACAAAATATACAAATAAACAAATTTACCTTGAACATCTCACCCATAATCAATCTTAGTTTCATTATCACTTAATACCTTGTTAAACAAGAAAACAAATGATTAAGCTGCTCTGGTTTTTTGGCATAATCAGTTTTAAAAAAAAAAAAAAAAGATGTTTAAGAAGAAGAAAATTTGATCACCATAAACAAACTGATCAAAAGAGTAATGATCTACAATGTAAACAAGTCAGGATCTTCCAGCTTGGCCTAATGCTCTGGTTCAGGACCTTGTGTTATACTTGGTACAAACAAACTCCCTATCTTATAGTACAATATTCTTTTTCAGATCTTTGTTTACATGTATGTACATGTATTATAGACTCAATTCTACTGGACCAGGGTTTTTTTTCACCCTATAGACTACAATTTTCAAGATCTTGAAGGCTTTTTGTATCCCATGGGACATGGGGCACTATCTGTTTAGATTTTTACTTTGGTGATAAATGACAATCAGCACCTGGAATCTATTCAATAAATTAAAGTGGAAAAGGGGGAATGAGAAATGTTACAATAGCATGTTTTAGAGTATTTCAGGGCATTTCTACTTGATTTTGATAGACTTGGAAGAGTATAATCTGTATTCCTTAACATATTGATACCATGTGCACATAAACATGCCGTGTTGAAAATGTATATTAATTGTCAAAACTTAAG